CCTAACCCTGGACAACGCTAGCCCTAAGTATATATAACCAAAACTCTCCTATTCTTAAACACCCATTAAAATTGTACTTTGCTCTGTAGCACCCTTTTAATTGTTCAAAACTGGTACTTTTTGCCTAAATGTTTTTTTTGACTGAGTCAAATGTACACGTTGTGATCAAAACCAAAAGTAAACAAAAACTTGAATTTGTGCTATATGTCTGTCCAGGCGTAATTTGCCTTTTTCATATTATGTGCACCCACACTTATTATATATCATTTTATTCAGGGGAAAGAGTGCTTTCATTTAACATTAGATATTTAGGTATGAAACATAATTTAATATGAATAAAATATATATATATATATATATATATATAAAAATGGGAGTAAATAAGAATTTTGTAAAAGAATTTTAGTCCTGCATGATATTTTAACTGTGAATGTCACAATACTGTTAGCTTTTACTGCAATAAAATACACATATTTGTATTCAGTGATGTCTCATGTGTAAAACAGTACCCCCTATGTACAGGTTTTATGGTGTTTTGGAACGTTACAGGGTCAAATATAGCATGTTCAATTTTTCAGTTTTTTCACATTGAAATTCGCCAGATTGGTTACGTTGCCTTTGAGACCGTATGGTAGCCCACAAATGAGAATTACAAAAGTAGACAACCCAAGGTATTTCAAATGTGGTATGTAGTGATGTCCCGAACGGTTCGCCGAACGGTTCGCCACGGATGGCGAACATATGCGCTGTTCGGTCCGCCCCCTATGTCATCATTGTGTAAACTTTGACCCTGTACCTCACAGTCAGCAGACACATTCCAGCCAATCAGCAGCAGACCCTCCCTCCCAGACCCTCCCACCTCCTGGACAGCATCCATTTTACATTCATTGTGAAGCTGCATTCTTAGTAAGCTGTCCAGGAGGTGGGAGGGTCTGGGAGGGAGGGTCTGCTGCTGATTGGCTGGAATGTGTCTGCTGACTGTGAGGTACAGGGTCAAAGTTTACTCAATGATGACGAATAGGGGGACCGAACAGCGCATATGTTCACCATCCGTGGCGAACAGTTCGGCGAACCGTTCGGGACATCACTAGTGGTATGTCTAGTCTTTTTTAGTAGCCACTTGGTCACAAACACTGGCCAAAGTTAGTGTTAATATTTGTTTGTGTGTGAAAAATGCAAAAAAATGAATTTGAACGTCAATTTTGGCCAGTGTTTGTGACTAAGTGGCTACTAAAAAAGACTGGACCTGTCATCCCCTGGCATTTAGAGCCAGGTCCCTAAGGACGGAATAGCACACCCGCTGTCCTTAAGGGAATAATTCTAACCCATACCTGTGCATGGCTTCTATTATTATCTTGAGTGGGATAGGCAGGTTTTTTTGTGGTGGGTGGACCACTGCTTGGGGACCCGTAGCTACCGATTGGAGACTTTCACGCCAAGTTTGGGGGGATGGACTATGTCATATCCATCCCAAGCACATTTAATTATAGCCCCCACTTGCAACCCATGGGTGGGGCTGAGGAGCTCAATAGATCTCCGTGGCCAAAGTGCTAGGAAAACAAACTCGTTTCCTGGCACTATAGATTTCCTATTTGTCAAGACCCCCTCCAGCGGCTCCCAGTCACTTATCTGGGTCCAGTGCCAATGTCCCTCAGTGCTGGCTCAGCTCCATCCACGCTCTTTCTCCACCGACGTCCGCCGGCGGGGGAGACCTAATGCGCATGTGCAGCAATAGCTGCGCTCACGTTAGGATCTCCCCATAGGAAAGCATTATCTAATGCTTTCCTATGGGGAAAATCTGACACTGGAATTCCTCATGCATAGCGTGAAGATGTCCAGCGTTAGATAATGGACCAAAAGTTGTTTCAATTCCGGAAGGCCTTCTTGTGGCTTTCTGGTAGACAGCCACTAGAGGTGGAGTTAACCCTCAGAGGTAACTATTGCAGTTTATAAAAACTTCAATAATTACCACTGCATGGTTAGGAGTGATGAGCTGAAGTGGTCTGGGTGCCTACAGTGTCCCTTTAATATTCACTATTATAGCCTCCACCTACTACCAACTGGTTGGGGCTGGGCATGGGATAAGATGCCTCCCCATTAATTTTAAAGGAACATGCTCGAACCCTAAAGCACTTCAGCTTGCTGAAATGCTTTATTTGTAAAAAAAAAAAAGGTGTTTTATTTTCATTTTACAAAAAGTGCAGATTTCAACAGAAATTTGCACTTTTAAAAATTCACCTTGTTACACTGTCAGTGAGACAACCGGTCTTGTTTATTTCTGGTTGCTTAGCTTAGTGGAGCTAAACGCAATCAGCATAACATTGCTCAGAGCACCTGTCTTGCAAAGCCACATTGAGAAGTTTGTAATTGGACAGCCATGGAGTATCGGGGCTGGGTTAGAAGGGAAGGGCTTCCAAAGGCTTAAGACAAGCGATCTACAACTTTTACCAGCCAGTTTTAGATGTACTCTAATGAAAAAAAACTGTATAATTTAATGCATACATGTTTTACTTTGGGTTATATCTACTAAATGGTGATTTTTTTTTATTTGGGCATTGGTGTGTCCCTTTACTGGCCATGGGTGGGGGTCCGGAGGGACACTATTTCTCCTTGCTTTATTAGTTTAATAATAGCCACATCTTTGGGGATAAGGATGGACAGTGATCTGTCCACTCACCAATGTTTATTTAACAGCTCCTACCAATGCCAATGGGTGGGGGTTAGGAAGGAACCTGTGCCAGGTTCTCTTTGTTGATTAATAGTTACTGGGCATCAACAGTATTTTATGACAACGAGCAGACACTGATTGCTCACCATTTAGCATACATGCCCACCATTCGTTTCAGGGCAAGTGGGGACATAAGAGAAGAAATAAACTTCCCTTACAATAATGTGGAAGGTATATTGTTACCCCCAAACATTTTTTTGATTTGCCTGCTACCCACGAGTGCTGCCAGTGGAGAAATAATAGAAAAGCATTTTTCAAGGTCATTTATTAAGGATTATGCCCTTGCCAAGGAACATTGAATCACCAAACTCGATATTTTTAATGCTAATCATATTTTCATTTTTTTATATATTTTGCAAATCGATATTATTCAAATGGTGGTAATGATTTGAATCAATAAAGGCCTTATCAAGAGCTGATAAACTGCAAATCAATGTTATCTGCTAGAATGTAATTGAGGCCAATGGTAGAAATACCATAGATGCTTGAAATGCAAGTAGTGTTGCAAGAGGGCATTTTGCTATGATGCCATGTTCATTGCTCATAGCTGAAAACGTTACTGTCTGTCTGTCTGTCTGTCTATCTACCATCAAGTAGAGATGTATATGTAGATTATTGCATGTTGCTTTGCATTATGTATGTAAACTAGAAAAGCTACAATTTCTGGGGAAATTGTGTGAAGTGTTCTTGCCTCCACCAGTAGTCTACAACTGGAGTGGGCGGAGTAACTGTTATTATTTATTTATATAGCACATTTAATTGCAACGTTGTTGCCCAAAGTGCTTCACAGTTACATTAACCCCTTAAAACCGGAGGGCGTACTATTACGCCCTATTCTAGGTGGCTCTAAACGTCACAGGGCGTAATAGTACGCCCTCCGTTTTTTTCTTACTTACCCGGTCGCCGGCGATCCCACGCCAGCGATCGCGGTTGGGGAGACTCACCTGGGATCCCAGGGGGTCCCCCGCGGTGGATCCTGCCTCCTCCAGCCCTTCCCGGCCATGTGAGAGTGAGGTCCTTGCAAGGACCTCACAATCACATGGCAGGGTTAGCTGGCTGCTGCATTGCCAGCAGGGGGACTGCCTGTAATGACAGTTAGTCCCCCTGCTGGCTGGAAATCAAATAAATTATGTTAAAATAAGTGTAAAAAAAATTAGATATTTAGATCATATATATAAATTATATATATATGATCTAAGTATATATATACACATATACATACACACACATACACTGTCTAGGTGTATTTTACTATTAATATATATATATAATTATATATATATATATATATTAATATCAAATTACACGTGATACTGATAATATTATATATATATATATATATATATATATATATATATATATATGTGTATATATATATATATATATATATATATATAATTATGGTTATATATATATTTATATATAATATAAAAAAAATATGTAAATACGTTAAAAAATTTAATTAAAAAATAATTTAAAAATAAATAATAAAAAAATATATAGATGTGTGTTATTTCATTCTAACTGTATTGTGATATAAATATATATATTTATATTAAAATACACATAGAACGAAATAATATATATATATCTATACATAAATATATACGTATATATCACTATATATATACCTATATATAAATAAAAATATTTTTAAAAAATTATATATACATATATATATATACACATACGTATGTATATACATATATTAATTCTACATATATATTTATGTAATATTTTTACATAATTAGATATTTTAATTAATTACAATTAGAGGGACCTGCCTGACAGCCCATGCTGAAAGTATAGGGAATTTAATTTTGCTAGCACTATATTTAACCCTATAACTTTCCAAGACACCATAAAACCTGTACATGGGGGTACTATTTTACTCGGGAGACTTCGCTGTACACAAATATTAGTGTTTCAAAACAGTAAAATGTATTACAAGGATGATATCGCCAGTAAAAGTGAAGTTTTTTGCATTTTTCACACACAAACAGCACTTACACGGACAATATTATTGCTGTGATACGTTTTACTGTTTTGAAACACAAATATTTGTGTTCATCGAAGTCTCCCGAGTACAACAGTACCCCTCATGTACAGGTTTTATGGTGCTTTCAAAAGTTACAGAGTCAAATATAAGGCTGGTGTTTTATTTTTTTCACATTAAAATTCGCCAGATTGGTTACGTTGCCTTTGAGACCCTATGGTAGCCCAAGAATGAAAATTACCCCTATGATGGCATACCATTTGCAATAGTAGACAACCCAAGTTATTGCAAATGGGGTATGTCCAGTCTTTTTTAGTAGCCACTTAGTCACAAACACTGGAAAAAATTGGCGTTTTTTGCATTTTTAACACACAAACAAATATTAAAAAATTTAAAAAGACTGGACATACCCCATTTGCAATACCTTGGGTTGTCTACTATTGCAAATGGTATGCCATTATGGGTGTAAATTTCATTCCTGGACTACTATACAGTCTCAAAGACAGCGTAACCAATCTGGCGAATTTCAATTTCAAATGTAATGTGCTATATTTGACCCTGTAACTCCCCAAAACACCATAAAACCTGTACATAGGGAGTACTGTTTTACACGTGAGACTTTGCTGAATACAAATATGTGTATTTTATTGCAGTAAAAGCAAACAGTATTAGGACATTGACAGTTAAAATGTCATGTGGATCTAAAAAAATAACAACATTTCTTATTTTCTCCCATTTTCTTCATATTAAGTTATGTTTCATAGCTAAATATTTGATATTAAATAAAAGCCCTGTTTCCCCTGAATAAAATGATATATAATAAGGGTGGGTGCATTTAATATGAAAGAGGTGAATTACGGTTGGACAGACATGTAGCGCAAATGCCAGGTTTTGTTTACGTTTTGTTTTGTTCACAATGTGTACATTTGGCTCAGTCCTTAAGGAGTTAAAACATACATTTATAAAAATATTAGCAGGTGTACAAAAGGCCCTGTCTATGACATCACTTGCTGCTCCAGCCTGGCACAGGTCAGAGTATTTTGGCGGTTGCCATCTTCAAACGGTCGTATTTTACAAACTATACATCCTACAGCGAAGAGCTTTATAATGTGAGAATCACAAGACCCAGCCCTACATTGTGATACATAGTATGTCTCTGAAATATTAACAATGAAGGCACAGTCGCAGTTTAGAAATTGCCCTTCAAGTTTGAGCTGGCTAGAGTGGAGTTTCAATGAATGTCAATGGACGGCATGAGTTGCAAACAAATGGTCATATTGTGAAAACCATCAGGACTATGACTTAGCCGTGGAAATTTTTAGTGGCAGCAGGGATAGCTGAACGTTTTGATATAAGATTTGTGTAGGTGGGCTTGAAAATGAGGGAGTGGTGGCAGTTTAGAAATCATGTCCTGATTTTTCAGCTTTTGCCAGCTCCCACTCTAGTTTAGAACATTTTGTCATTCATTCCTATGGGACCAATTTCGTCACAAGAACGACGATATTCCGTGAACCATTCGGCGAAATGTTCCACAGAGTAATAGCAATCCAATCGGGAACAATCCGCACGTTTCGGTATATTGTTGTCTATGTAGTGTAAAAACTGTGGGAGGAGTTAGGGTGGTAAATTTGGCTATAATAAGAATAAGAACTAGAAAAGCTACAATTACTGGGGAAATTGTGTGAAGTGTTCTTGCCTCCACCAGTAGTCTAGCACATTCAATTGCAACGTTGTTGCACAGTTACATTAAACCATACATTTATAAAAAACATTAGCAGGTGTTCAAAAGGCCCTGTCTATGACATCACTGGCTGCTGCAGCCTTGACAGGTCAGAGTATTTTGGTGGTTGCCATCTTCAAACGGTCATATTTTAAAAACTATAAATCCTACAGCGAAGAGCTTTATATTGAGAGAATCACAAGACCCAGACCTACATTTTGATGCATAGTATGTCTCTGAAGTATTAAAATTGAAAGCACAGTCGCAGTTTAGAAATTGCACTTCAAATTTGAGCTTTGCAAAGTGAAGTTTCAATGAAAGTCAATGGACGGCATTAGTTGCAAACAAATGATTATATTGTGAAAACTATCAGGACTACAGCTTAGCCGTTGACATGTTTAGTGGCAGCAGGGATAGCTGAACGTTTTGATATAAGATTTGTGTAGGTGGGCCTGAAAATGAGGGAGTGGTGGCAGTTTAGAAATCATGTCCTGATTTTTCAGCTTTTGCCAGCTCCCACTCTAGCTTAAGCGTCTATTCCTATGGGACAAATTTCGGCCAAAAGAAATCAATGATATCTCTTTGAAACTATCTCGTATAAACGCTCCACAAAGTAATAGCAACCTGAATGGGAACAATCTGCACGCTTTAAAATTTTTGTCTATGTAGTGTAAAACTGTGGGAGGAGTTAGTGGCAAATTTTAAGTGCGTAATAATAATAAATAATATATATGTGAGATAACATTAAGTGAGCCCTATATGCAAGAACACTTAATAACTGAAAAGTTTTGGCAATTTCAGGGGAAATTGTGTGAAGTGTTCTTGCCTCCACCTGTAGTCTACAACTGAGTGGGCTTTGAGAGTAACTGTTATCATTTACATAGCACATTTAATTGCAACGTTGTTGCACAGTTACATTAAACCATACATTTATAAAAACATTAGCAGGTGTTCAAAAGGCCCTGTCTATGATATCACTTGCTGCTGCAGCTTGACACAGGTCAGAGTATTTTGGCGGTTGCCATCTTCAAACGGTCATATCTTAAAAACTGTAACTCCTACAGTGAAGAGATTTATATTGTGAGAATCACAAGACCCAGACCTACATTTTGATGCATAGTATGTCTCTGAAGTATTAAAATTGAAGGCACGGTCGCAGTTTAGACATTGCACTTCAAATTTGAGCTTTGCAGAGTGAAGTTTCAATGAAAGTCAATGGACGGCGTTAGTTGCAAACAAATGATTATATTGTGAAAACTATCAGGACTATGGCTTAGCCATTGACATGTTTAGTGGCAGCAGGAATAGCTGAACGTTTTGATATAAGATTTGTGTAGGTGGGCCTGAAAATAAGGGAGTGGTGGCAGTTTAGAAATCATGTCCTGATTTTTCAGTTTTTGCCAGCTCCCACTCTAGCTTTGCCATTCATTCCTATGGGACAAATTTCGTCACAAGAACGACGATATTCCGTGAACCATTCGGCGAAACGTTCCACAAAGTAATAGCAATCCGATCGGGAACAATCTGCACGCTTTGGTAAATTTTGGTCTATGTAGTGTAAAAACTGTGGGAGGAGTTAGGGTGGCAAATTTTGCTATAATAATAATAATAATAATATATATGTGAGATAACATTAAGTGGTCTTGCTATGCAAGAACACTTAATAATATATGTGAGATAACATTAAGTGGTCTTGCTATGCAAGAACACTTAATAATATATATGTGAGATAATATTAAGTGGTCTTGCTATGCAAGAACACTTAATTATTGCACTTTTGTGAAGTACTCTATAGAGTCATTATTGCTGTGAACTATAATGTGGCTGTCAGAATACCTTACTTACTGATTTTCAGTGGAAAATGATTTCAATCAGCTCCCTCCAGACAGCTGGAGAGAGAAGACTTCAAACAATAGATAGCAAAATATACAACACAGAGGATAATAAATGTGTGGATGATGTTGGGAATGATAACAGATTTAATTACCAGAAAGGCAGAAAAAAAAATAACATGTATGAATAGAAGCATAAGGAAAGAAAAATATGTGAAAGCAGAAGCCAGTTTATTCTCCTTGTGTACTCTACAGAGAACTATTTAAATATTTCTTTGTTTTTTTGTTTGCTTATATGAATTAAGGTTTTACCAATCTCAAGGAACATCATATATCCATATATATGAAATACTTATCATGAAAGGCAAAGGAGTAATCTTGTAGAACTTCAAAATCTGGATGCTATCAACTGAATTTTACCTCTCCTGTGCCATAATATATTTTTCTATTAGCAGAGGTGAAAATTTCCACTGGTTTAGTAGCCATTGGCTTGTGAGAATTCAGCCCTAGCGAGTAGACATTCAGCTCTTGTCTTGCAAGCATGCCAAGAATCCACCTTCCACTGTCTGTGAATCCACATCGCTGTTGGAAAGTAACAGCTTATCAATGGCTTCCTGACTGATACATGCTAGCATCAACAGTGGTATTAAAGCAGCAGACAATAACGTATTAGTCCCCTAACCTCACTGTGATTAAACTTAAGAGGGGCAACGCTGTATTTTTTTCAGATTTTAAGTTAGAAAATGAACCCATACATTTATACGAACACAGATAACCACACTTACGAACATCAATGCAAGACTTTGAGATTCATTTCTGTCGTACCCGCATCTTATCTGAATTTGGGCTGATCAGGTGATTGGCTGAATTCTCAAGTCTGAGCCAAAAGGTAAATGTAAATCATGAGCCACCTGAAAACCCCAATGCATGGTCATTTAGATGTGTGATTCTGGATTCCACACGTCACACCAAAAGAAGAGATAGGAAAATAAGATGAGTAACGGCTATGGACAAGCACTATATGTTTGTTTATTCATTGGTCAAGAGGGGGAAAAATGAGGTGCTGTAAAAAATCTATATTTATATATTTAATGAATATTTGGTACATGAATATATAAATATCGATTTTTGTTTTTACTGCTCATCCTCTTTTTCCCTACATTGGTTAGTTTTTATTTCTTCATCTGTGAAATGAATGGTGGTAAAATGTTCCTATCAGTCTACTGCTAAATATTTACATAATATTCTATTACATATATATTTTCCAATACACTGAATGGCCAATTTTTGTGCCTTTTGTTTAATCTAATTCAGTTCCCAAATCACTTTTTCAGAACATAAATTTAGAACTACATACACCAAATATTCAGGCTTCACAAAAAATCTTTTATTTTTGGTAAAAATGGTTTGGCAAATTTTCCATGAATAAGTCTAATGTACACAGTAACAAATACCTCCATCTGCCCCTAAGCCTTCACATACCCAAACGCAATAGTTACACACATACAATACAAATATATGCACATATACAACTGCACAGAGATAGATAAAGATTCATATATGTAACATGACTATGATAATTTGGTGGGATTTATTGGCAATTATTTGCCCCCTGCATCCATCCATATTAAAACAGCCCTGATGTTTTCAATGGAGCATTTGATCTGATGCCCCCCTCAAGGATCCACCGGTGTGCTCAAACAGGTGGCCACGTGAAGCTAAAAACTCCTAGAACATAGGATAAAAAATCTAATGTGTATTGCCATGTTGTGTGTTCATTTTAAATTAATATTAGATTGCTGACATATGTATTATTAGAAAATGTAGGAAGCCTTCCCAAGTGTAAACTTTGCAAAACCCTTCATGTGTGCCGGAAGT